TAGCTTGTGCTTGAATACAAGAGGGAGCTCAGCGACTCTGAGCGTCTCGGGCTCAGTTAGCTTGTGCTTGAGTACAAGAGGGAGCTCAGCGACTCCAGGAGGTGCTTGGAGATGCTTCTGCTTTAAAGATACCAGCGAAACCTGCAGACATACCAGTCATCAAGGATCAGGATAGGACATGTCTGATTTAGATGCTTCTGAATGCAGTATATCTGGAGCTGAGGTTTGGGATTAAAATCATATTTCCATTTTTTTTCCCCATCTTGCGCGGACACTGAAGTGTTAAAGAGAAGCTTGAAACGTTTTAAAGTTTCATATGGCGTAGTCGTTTCTCTGCTACTAGTGTAGTTAGCCTGCCCCTTACAATCAGTTACACCACCGAGAAAATGGTGATGTAAGCTTTGCAAAGCAGCTGAAGCTTAATGAATTTGTAAAAGTAATTAAAAAAATCATTAGCCTCAGCACCATTTAATATTGATTTTGTGTGTTCTGTAATGTCCTGATTTACAGTAAGCTATAGTGTTTTGATCTGAGGGTTCAGACTGGAGATGGAGAACTGTGAAAAGTTTTGTTTTTGGTTTCGAACCGACGTCTGAAAATGTTGTGTGCGTGTGTGTGTACACACGCGTCTCCCAGAGGACTCCCTCTGCACGTCCGTTGATGTCCAAGAGGGAGCTCAGCGACTCTGAGCGTCTCGGGCTCAGTTAGCTTGTTCTTGAATACAAGAGGGAGCTCAGCGACTCTGAGCCGGACTGCCGTTGTCCAGAGAGTTACGCGAGAGTTAGAGTCTCGTGACAGCTCGGTCAGCTGGGTTGTGGCATCAGTCCGCGGCCGTTCTCGAGCAGCTCAGAGAGGACTTGGCTGTGTCCTTTCCTCTCCGGTCCCTGCGGGAGAGAGGCTGCGGGAGTCTTCCCTGCGGCCTTCACAAAGATTTCACTTTCAAGACGAGGGTGGGGCTCAAGCAGTTAACTGGCAGGGGTCGTACTTCCTCAGGTGATAACAGCAATTCTAGTGCGGGTGTCCTACACGGCAACGCAAAGCTGTTGTAGCAGAAGGCTGGTGGTTTAATTGTACTGGCGTTCTTGTAGGTGTCTCGTCGGTTTAATAGTAAGGCAGGTATTTCTCAGCTTGTGTAGATTATAAATCTGAAGGTTAAGCCGTGTTCCACAGACGCCACGCACCTTGGATATTTGAGCAGATATTAGATAATCAGAGGGCGGCTTTTCAATGGCTCAGCGCATTGTTTTTCCGACCCATTAAACTGCAGTCAAAGACCTGTTGGCGTCGCCCGCTCTGTTTGTGTGCAGGTGTTCTGCGCGGCGTGCTGCAGCCTGAAGTGCAGGCTGGTGTACATGGACAGGAAGGAAGCCCGCGTCTGTGTCACCTGTCACTCGGTGCTGATGAATGGTGAGTATTCGCACGGCGGACGCAGCAGCTGTGCAGCTCCTGGGGCCCTGCACGGCGGAATTCCGGCGAAGCGTGTTGGTAGTACTGATTTGCCGCGCGTGGGGGGGGGGCTTTTTTGATATTTCTATAGTAACAGGATGTTTTTTGCATCATGTTTGTCCTTGACGTAGCCTTTCACGAGCACTGAGCGCTTAAGAGGAGCTTTTTAATTACCCCCCCTTCCCTTCCCGTCCCCCAACCTTTCAAATAAACCCAGCATACCTTTTAAAAGAACGTTTTCTCTCCCTTTAATCAGTTCAAGCCTGGGAGAGCATGGTGAGCACCTGTAACCAGAGCCCCAACCCCAACAATCCTGCAGAATACTGTTCCACTATTCCTCCGCTGCAGCAGGCTCAGGCTTCTGGGGCTCTCAGCTCGCCCCCTCCCACCGTCATGGTGCCTGTGGGTGTCCTGAAGCATCCTGGGACTGAAGGTAGGATGCCGGTCGCTTGCGGCGTACCACCACTCCACTGATAGGCTGCACCGCGCTCAGTCCCGTAGAACATCATACGGTCACGAACGTTTTTGCTTTGGGGTTGGAGTTTTCAGGATTTTGAGTTCCTTTTTGGTTTTGAAGAAGATCTTCAAATCATGCATGTTCGGTAAACTGTGTAAAACTGAGTTCTTGCACGGGGTAGGTTTTGGGTCCCCTTGCAGGGTGGTTATCTATAACGTGAATAGAAACTCCAGAAAAGGGTGTCGTCTCTTTTTGTAGAAGAAAACTCTTTATCGAGAAACGCTTGAAGAAAAGCTTCAGAATGTTTGCTGGAGCTCCTGTTAGAAATGGTTTCTAACTTTTATTAAAGCAGTATTACCAGTAAAGGATTCAGGTATAAAAGCCTCTGGCCGTGTTCAATGGAACAGACGTTTCCCTCTCTTAGAATCACTTTATTGGCCATATACAATCTCTTTTTGTCTTTTTCGCACACCCCAACCTGCTCTCCATGAGACGCACAGGTAACTGTCTGTGTTTGTACCCCACGGCTGTAGGCTCGCTCCCCAGGGAACAGAGGAGGGTTTGGTTTGCGGATGGGATCCTCCCGAATGGAGAGGTAGCCGACTCGTCAAAGGTGGCAGTGAGTGGGGCAGCCCCTTCAGGACCCCTGACGGTGTCACATGACTCTTGCAAGCCCCCAGCAGCCAATCCCTGCGCTTCAGAGGTAAAGCCGCTAGCGGGGGTTAACCCTTTGTGAGCTGCACGTGCAGGGTTTGCCGACGGCACGCCTTCCCTTAAATACTGCGCTCGGCCTGAAAGTCGTATTCGGTCTCATTCGCCGCGAGTCTGTAGAAAGCCTCGGTGCGTGCTACACGCCTGGGAAAAGTCTTAATACCTCTTGAAATGCTTTTACTGGCTTGTGCTCATCTGGTCTCGGTTCAGCCGGCATCCGACTGTCACCGGCTGTCGGCTCAGGAGGGCTTGTCCCCGCTAACCCCGGCGCTGTTCTCCGCAGGCCGCCTCGCCAGCGCGGGCCGCCGCCGCCCCCCCTGTGGGCAGCCCCGTGGGCAGCTCGGTGAACCTGATCCCCGAGGACGGCCTCCCTCCCATCCTCATCTCCACCGGCGTCAAAGGAGGTACGGGGAGCCAGCTCACAGGTGCTTGTTCATGCCTCCTGAGTCTCCGCTGTGGTCCGACCCCTGCGGTCGAGCGTGTCCCGTGCCCCTAGAAACCCGTTTGAGAACGTTTACTGTAAATAGGCGAGCAGCATTACTGGATCAGGATGGTGTGAGAACGTATTCCCTACAGCTCAACGCATGATACGCAGTTCGTCCGGTACAAAACAATTGGCAGGCTCTCTGTGCCCTTGGACACCAGCTCTTGATCTGACTCCCGGGGGACTCATCAATAATCAGTAAGAGCTGTGCTGGAGCTTCGCCAATCGGATGAGCTCCCGTCCCAGCTCGTTTCGATGGGTGTGCGCCTGCCCCGTCGGGTGAGGAGCTCCGCTCGGTTTCCTCCGGGCGCCCACTTCCTCAGAAGTCAGACGAGTGTCCCCCCCTGGCGCGGGCCGGCTCACTGCGGTGCCCGCCGCCCCTGTTGAGGGGGAGTGGTGGCGGCGGAGTGGCTGCCCCGCCCCCCCCCCCCGTTGTCGTACCGCGCTGGCGCCCGGCCCCTCCCTGACGCCTGTGCTCCCACCCCTCAGACTACGCGGTGGAGGAGCGGCCCTCGGAGATCGCGGTGATGCAGCAGCTGGAGGAGGGCGGCCCCGACCCGCTGGTCTTCGTTCTCAACGCCAACCTGCTGGCCATGGTCAAGCTGGTCAACTGTGAGTTCGCTGCGCCTGCTGTCCCTCATCGGTCTGGGCGGCTGAAAGCTGTTCTTGCAGCAGAATAATGGCGTTACCTTGCAGTGGCTTAGAAAACCAAGATCCTCCCCATGCTGGGATTTTCCTTAGGATATAATAATGAAAACGTGTTTAGTAAACAAATTGAAGAGGCATTTAAGGTTTTTTGCTTACTGTTTGAATAAACAGCTCTGGTTATTTTCAAGATACTAGCAGAGCACTTGATATTTTTAGGGGGCAATACGGCTCTGTAGTGTTTTATACATGCTTATATATTGTCAAGCCTGGGTCTAGAATAGTTAGTCATTAACTTGGCTTGCTACTAACTTGGTGTTTGTGACGGCTTCAGGCCTGCTGTCCAGTGGGGTTCGGTTTGTCTTGGCGGCGTGGGGGCGAGGGAGGGGTACAGTCGGCCGCGGATCTGACGCTGCTCTCTCGCCCCAGACGTGAACAGGAAGTGCTGGTGCGTGACGACGAAGGGGATGCACGCGGTGGGCCAGGCCGAGGCGGTGGTGCTGCTGCAGTGTCTCCCCGACGAGAAGAGCATCCCCAAGGACGTCTTCAGCCACTTCGTCCAGCTCTACCAGGACGCGCTGGCAGGTGAGCGGCAGGCCCGGCTGAGTCACGGGTTCGAGTCCGGGTTCACGGCCTTTGCTGGCGGTGGCCCATGGCTCTTGGCGACAGGGTGACCCCTGTGACCTTGACCATAGCCCCTCGGGAGTAACATCCTGCAGACACCCCTGCTTCTGGGCACTTTTGGTCCTCCGAGTCCGGGCCATTGGGATGTGAGCTTGGCTTCAATTCCTGATCAGGGCGACCTCTCCCTGTCATCACGCCCCCCAGGAGCCTCACACGAGTTCAGTTTCTGGACAGGAAGTTGGCTTGGTTCCTGAAGCTGTGTAGCAAAACCCAGTTGGACCCCTGCCGGAGCAGGTGGCGGGGCTACACTGTGAGCCTGAGAAATGTTCAGGACTTGACTGGTGCCAGTTATCCCTCGGCCTGGCAGATGCGTTTGACTTGTTTGACGGAGTCCTGAAAGCGCTTGTTTGGATGTGTAGAAGTGCTGGTAGCATTCAATTAGTAAAATGCCTTCAGTGTATTTGTAAGTGAGGATATACACCCCCATAGGGAATAACTGCTGTACAAGGGTGAAAAGCCCACCCCTCCACCGCCATGAAATAGATTGTTTATAGTCACGTCAAGTCCGTGAGGAGAAATCTATCCACCCTACTTTGGGAAGTGGTTCAGTTTTATTATCGGGAGATGATCTGCGTCAGCTTTGGTTGATCGTAAAAACGTCAGGGAATTATCTGGGCGATGAAGGGTGGTCTCCCGTGCGGAAGTTAATTTTGTCGTGGCCTGCCGTCGGTTTTTAACGCGCAGGCATTATCCGAGTCGAGCTGCTGAACGTGGTCACAGCGCTGGTTTGAGCCAGTGGTTTCGGCTCGGGCACCTCTCCAAGAGCAGAGTTAATGTTCCTCTGCTGATTTAGTGGCGTTTCACTGAAACACTTCACACTTTTCTCTTTCGGTCTCTGTGCGGGTTGGCGACGCCTGGGTCCTGCACGGGCAGAGCAGGCTTTGCTGCTGACTGACGCTTTGTCTGGCCTCCCACTGCGTGTCAAAGCCACATTGTCTCCTCTTCCACCCCAGCTGTTCAATACTGCCCGCTCGGGCCTGCGGGATGTTTTTGCATTCTTAGATGTATATACTGCTTATTTGTTTTATTTTGGCACGAAAATAAATCTTACTGCTGGCATGCTGAGACAGGCTGGCCCATGGTGGCCCGTTTTGCTGGGATTTGCCATGAATTGCTGTTCTATACCAGGAGATGCAAAAGCCTAGCTCTTCCTTCCTGACCCGGCCAGTCAGGGCAGCTTATTCTGCTCTTCTCTGCAGTGCCTAGCTGGAGAAGCTGTTCAGATTCATCCCCGGGGCTGGATTTAAGAGCCTGCAGCAGGAGCCACTGAGAGAGATAAAAGCCCCCCCCCTCTTTTGCCCTCCATTGACTCTGCGTGTTGTGTGTTTGCAGGGAACGTAGTGAGCAACCTGGGTCACTCCTTCTTCACGCAGAGTTTCCTGGGCAGCAAGGAGCACGGCGGATTTCTCTACATCAGCCCCACCTTCCAGTCCCTGCAGGACCTGCTCCTGCCCAACCCTCCCTACCTCTTCGGCATCCTCATCCAGAAGTGGGAGACCCCCTGGGCCAAGGTCTTCCCCATTCGCCTCATGCTGCGGCTGGGAGCAGAGTACCAATGTGAGCACAGCTAAGCCAACCGGCTTCAGGGACCACTTGGCACAGGTTCCCAAAGCGGGGGCTGTGAACATACCTTTTTAGAACCAGTGGGTTTTGTTCCAGGTGCTTTGCAGAATGAACCTGGCTTTCACCAGTCGGCGCTTTGCTTTCACGCACGCGCACGAGCGCAGGTGAAATGAACTCGGTGTTGCCCTAGTGGTGAGCATGTGGTTTGTGTCCAATAAGCCAAACTTCTGAATGGCAGAGAAATCTGTTCAGTATTTACCACAGCAGTGGGCACGGAGGTCCAGCAGTAACCCCTGTGATCTCGCAATGCGGGGCATCTGGTACCTTCCAGTACTTCACCCGATAACTACGCCACCTTGATCTTTGGATCTGAGCCTGTCCGCGTTTGATCACATGTAACCACGTGTGGCCAGCTTAAAACCAGCACTTCCCAAGTTTTTCATGGCACAGAGCAAATCATTTTAAAAACGGAGCTAGCATTTCTAGAAATCACATTTATTTTAAGATCAGTCGTAGACTGAGGAAGATATTTGACTTGGCTATCGTGCCCTGACTTTCAGAGTGAGAACTTTTTTTGGTGAACAGGGTGATGTCATACTTGGCGCAGTGCTGGAAACAGCTGTGTGACGCTCCTGGACCACACTTTTTAAACCTGATCTCTTCTGATGCCATGACACAGAGTTTGAAAAGCACAGGGTTAAACACACAATAAGATCATTTACTTGGCTTTACTTTTCTTAGTGCTGACAGCGCCATCTAGTGTTCACAAGGTTAAGAGTATTTGGTATAAATGAACGGCATTTTTGCCTTTTCAGGATCTTCTTCAAATCTGCTAGCAGATAAGGGTAACGATCAATCTAAAACCGTAGCAGTGTTATGAATTAGCAATTTTGCTTATTGCTAGACCAGCAACAAGTTGCATGTCCTTCGTCATGAGAAGATTAGTCAGTTACTTACATTTTTCCGATGCCACATGAGTGACTTTCACACCTGTGATGAAAGACGTTGGCTGAAATACATGTCAAACCTAAGTACGACCTTTGAGGTTCACCACAAAACCCTCACTAGTATCCCATGTGGCTCAACAAATAAAGATTAAATGGGTCTGATGGAATAAGTCCACAAGGTGATGTAATAAACATTTATCATAAGCCTCTGCTTTAGACCATATTGTATCAATAATGTTTTGTAAAAAACAGAGAAAGGAGGATTTGACGTGGAGGATTGACCACTGTGTCCTCGCAGTCTGGGAGGCAGTAATCTGCAGTGTCCCCCTCTCTCTTCCTCTCCTGGCAAAATGCGGACCATGTGGACAGCTCCACACTTCTGCTTCCTAATCCAGGATGCTGTGCTAAAATCTGGGTTTTACATAGAGCCGGTGTTTTAAATTGGAAGGGCTCAGCGCTCATGCTCTCGAAAGAGACACGGTTTCTGTGGAGAACTTTTACTTTTTTTACGCCGAGGGTTTTTCTGGAAGCAAAACCACAGAAACGCACTGTATCCCCTCGGCCTTGAACGACTTGTGTGGGGAAGCTGCTTCGCTCCCGGCGGCGGCTCCACTCTCGGGCCCGTTCGTGCTTGATTGTGTGGGTTGGCCGCGTGCTTCCCCAGACCGGAGCAGCGGGGAGTGGCGAGGGGAGAGCCCGCCCTGCCCGTCCTGCCTGTGAGGTTCAGCTCTTCCCTCTTGTTCCCCCTCACAGTCTATCCCTGCCCCCTGTTCAGCGTGCGCTTCCGGAAGCCTCTGTTCGGGGAGACCGGCCACACCATCATGAACCTGCTGGCGGTGAGTGCTGAGGCCTTCCTCTCTCTCTCTCTCTCTCTCCTCCTCTGCATCTCTTCGAATTCCCCTGTGGAAATCATGACTGTATCTGCAGAGGTTAATTTCCTTGTATATATAGGGGCACATGTATAACCTGTACTTACTGAAACGGGATGAGCTATCAGTCTGCCCTACTGGCCCTGAGGGATACCTCCTGCAAGACTTAAATCCCAGATGTATTTTTCTGAAGCTGGTATTTGACATTGATAGCTGTCTTTGTTAAAAACATCGTACTTGTTTTCCTAAGTCAGCATTACTAAGTTGTTGTTTTTTTCCTGAAATAGTATAAAGTTCGCAGAGCGTGCGTTTCTGTAGTATGCTGCAGAATTGTCCATATTGCTCTTGTTGCTTCTCCAGTAACTGCTGTGGTTATATTTCCAGGATTTCCGGAATTACCAGTACACATTGCCAGTGGTAAATGGGCTGATGGTGGACATGGAAGTGAGAAAGACCTGCATTAAGATTCCCAGCAATAGGTACAATGAGGTGAGTCTCTGTTGTGGTTCAGTTTGGACCTTGTGACATTTAACACGACTGTCTTATTACCCCTTGGCACTGATCCATGGATCTCTTTACACAAGTACTTGGGCTTTTACTGACTGCAAAGGTGATGCAAACGTGTCAGTATTGATCATTTCTCGTTCTTCTGAAACTGGGCATCCTCGAAGCTCAGTTTGTATTTGCGCGGCACGTAGTGGCAATAATCGCAACCCTGTTTGTTGGGAACATGTTTGCAGGGAGTCCACCTCGCATGGACAGCTTCCCTGCTGTCACTCGTGCTGAGGCAGAGCCGGGTGTCCCCTGCACTGATCGTGTTCACCAGCAGGTGGAGAAGAATGCATTTCAGGTTTTGCTTTGATGAGGTAGTAGATCAATGAAAGGGCAGGTGGAGAGCAAACCTGTATGGTGTCTTCTGACAGGACCCTACGAGGAAGATGACTGGTAAAGAGCGGTCTTTATTTCCAGGTGTAATAAATGCTGTGCTTGTGGTCAGTGTTCTCTTCCTGCTGAGAATGGCTCTAGACAGATGGGCCGTGTGATTCCTTTGGCAGCTTATGAAGGCGATGAACAAGTCCAACGAGCACGTGCTGGCCATGGGAGCCTGCTTCAACGAAAGGGCAGACTCTCACCTGGTGTGCGTGCAGAACGACGATGGGAACTATCAGACTCAGGCCATCAGCATCCACAACCAGCCTCGCAAAGGTAGGTCCACGCATGGTGGCGCTGAGGGCAGGGTCTTTCTAATGGGAGGCACTTCTTTACAATGTGCAATCAACTGAAGCCCAGCAGGCGTGGGCCTGGCCAGCACCTGGAAGGGAGACCTCCTGGCAAAAACTAAGGGTCCTGCTGGAAGAGGTGTTAGTGGGGCCAGTAAGGGGCGCTCACCTTGTGATCTGTGTGGCTCCTAATGCCCCAGTATAGTGATGGGGACGCTGTACAGTGTAAAAAATAGGCACAGTCCTGGGATGAGTTCCTGACTCTCTGTGGTCATTAAAAATCCCAGGGTGTTCTTGAAAAAAGTAAGGTTGTTACCCTGGAGTCCTGGCCAAATTTCCCCTTGACCTTTACCAATCATGGCCTCCTAATAATTCGCATCTGTGAACTGGCTTCATCACTCTGCTCTCCTCCCCACTGAGAGCTGGTGTGTGGGGAGAGGAGAGTACTGGTGCATCATACAGGTGGGGGCTGCACACTGGTGGTGGTGGAGGGGATCCCCATGACCTGTAAAGCGCTTTGAGGGGAGTGTCCAGAAAAGTGCTATAGAAGTGGAAGGAATTATTGTTATTACTACACTTCTTTACACCAAGAGTTGGGAGTGTGGAACGAGCTAACCAGCTGCATTGAAGCCGAAGGCCTGGCGTCTTCCAAGAAACGTCTGGATAATTGGATGGATTGGCTACCACACGTGGTGATCTGAGTGGCCATGTGCTGGTGGTTGTTCTTGTGCTCAGTGCAAGTTGGTGCCCTACTGCAGGCCAATCCCTTTATTTTACCGATCCTGCTAATTGTTGTCTAAATAATTAAGAAGCAGGTTGGAGTAACATTGTACAGTGTGGCAGATTTTAGTAACCCTGAGTTGGGGGATGGAAGGTTGATGAATAAGCGGAGTCTGGTGGTAAGCTTGAATCCTCCTGAGCCGTGTGGTGTTGAAAGTTGTCCTGTCTGGTTCAGTTACAGGAGCCTGTTTCTTTGTGTTCAGTGGTGCTTTGAAACCCTCCTCCGGATACCTGGCCAAATCCAGCATCGTGGAAGGTAAAGGTTTTCATTTTGGCTGTTCTCTTTGTATCCCGCTGAATTTCGCCATTTGATTATTTTTTTTTGTGGGGACTGTGCTGTTATCCTTGGCTGCCTGGAGTTAAAATACCTACCAGCTCTTTCATAATGGACGAAGACCTGCTTTTCTCAGTTCCGGCCAAGATAATGTCATTGTTTTGCATCACGTCTGTACAAGTGCCTGGGGGTGCAGAGTAGCACAGCAGTGTGCGGCCTTGGTAAGGTCTCAAGTGCGAGGTGAAGCACAGACGATGTACAGTACAAACACACGTGGCTTTGGAGCAGTGTTTAACTGATTATACATGATATAATGTGTTTGTGGAAACATCTATTCTTCTGACAAATTCTCTGTTAAAGGGTCCCTTGAAGAACTTATAAAAAAAAATAATCTCTGAATCCAGATCAAGCCCAAACTCCTCAACAGCACAAAACCACCTTAGACATTGAATTGAAATCATCACAGCTTTTAACCACCAACTACCAAACCAGCTAGATGGGCGGCATGCCCTCCTCTCGTCTGTTACCGTCCTCATTTTTCCGGATTCTTAAGCCAAAACCTCATTGTTTAGCCAGAGGTGAATGAATGAATCTGCCGCCATCTTGAATTGAAGTCCAGTGCCGTAAACTTCTTCCCTGGTGTCCCCGTGTGTGTGTGTCCGTGTGTGTGTCCCCGTGTGTGTGTCCGTGTGTGCCCTTGCTGTCGCTGACAGTCTGACCCCTCCCCCCAGATGGCGTGATGGTGCAGATCACGGCTGAGACGATGGAGGCCCTCCGCCAGGCGCTGCGGGAGATGAAGGACTTCTCCTTCCCCTGCGGGAAGGCGGACCAGGAGGAGAGCCAGGAGCACGTCTCCGTGCAGTGGCTGGAGGACGACCGCAGCTTCAACAAGGGGTGAGGCAGCGCGTGCCGGCGGGCCGCGGGAGGGAGGCCTGTGCAGGTCCCGCTGCAGGAGGGGGGCGGGGAGAGACCGGAGCGCTGGTCTCTCCCCCCCCGCTAACCCCGTCTGTCCCTGTGCTCTGCCACGCAGTGTCATCAGCCCCATCGATGGCCGCTCCCTGGAGTCCATCACCAGCGTCAAGATCTTCCACGGGGCGGAGTACAAAGCCAGCGGGAAGGTTATCCGCTGGACAGAGGTATCGGGGAGAGTCTTCCTGCTGCCGTCTTGTGTGCCTGATGTTTAAATTTGCGCTTATCTGTCATCGCTTGAACTGGGAAGTTTTCAGGAAGGGCACGGTTGGTCTTGGTGACACGTCAAAGACTTTACCCTCTTTACAGCCCCCCTGGTAAAACAAAGCACGCCCTTTGATGTCCGAGCGTAATTTGTTCCAATTTGTAATTGTTGCACGTCTGACCCCCCCCCTCCTCCTCCTCCTCCTCCTCCTCCAGGCGTTCTTCCTCCAGAGCGACGAGCAGCCCAATGGGCTGAGTGACCCCGCCGACCACAGCCGCCTGACTGAGAACGTCGCGCGGGCGTTCTGCGTGGCGCTGTGCCCCCACCTCAAGCTCCTCAAGGAGGACGGCATGGCCAAGCTGGGCCTGCGCGTCACGCTGGACGCGGACCAGGTGAGCTCGTTCTTCAGCCGCGCGCGTCCGTTGCGCAGAACGGTCAAGCTGTCAGATCAAAGCATATCAGTAGGCGCTGCAAAGTCTCTGCAGAAAGGAGACGTGTTGGGAGGAGTTCATCCTCTAAGACAGGTGTTCCCAGTCCTGCTGTCTGGAGGTCCACACAGCCACAGGCCTTAATGAAGCTGGGCTGGAATGATCTAATCAAAGCCCTAATTGAACTAACGAGTGACCTGATTGGACCATCTGCAACTGGGATTTTATTTGACTGGGGAAACGCAATCGGCAAACCAACATAAGAGCTGAGAACAGTCAAACAGTTGGTGTTAATTCTGTGATGGAGTCCGTACTCCTGGTGTTTGACGGAGAGCTGTGCTGGAGTGACAGCCAGCACGTGTGTGAGCCTCCGGGACTGGGAGCCCCTGTTCTAAGATCATGGCAGTAGTCTTCAGTGTTTTTAACAGAAGGATTACATCTGATTACATCTGAAAAAGTGCAGTTATTCCCGCGTGTCCCCTGGCTGCGCTCGTGGGTGGGGGCCGCTCCCCTCTCGGAGCCCGGAGAGCGGCTCGTGCTCTAACTGCTGTGTTGCCTGGATGCAGGTGGGGTACCAGGCTGGCAGCAACGGGCAGCCGCTCCTGCCTCAGTACATGAACGACCTGGACAGCGCCCTGGTGCCGGTGATCCACAGCGGCGCCTGCCAGCTCAGCGAGGGCCCAGTGGTCATGGAGCTCATCTTCTACATCCTGGAGCATATCTCGTAGAGCGGGGTGCCCCCCCCCCCCCCCAAACCCACACCCTCTCCCCCGCTGCATCCAGCTCGCCTCCTCTCATTTGCACTTCAAAAAGAGCCTAAACGCTGTGCTGGGAAACCTTTCTCCAGACCTTCTATGCACCATATCCAACTTCTGTACCCGGCCAGGGCAGCTCGGAAACAGGACGGAGACCCGCAGATCCAACTTCGGCTTTTGTGGCGAACAGCACGGCCGGCCTTATCGACCCAGTGGGCTTCCATGTGTTACCTGTGTGTCCCTAGGAGGTTGTTTGCCTCTTCCGAATGGTCTTGTGGGGCGTCGACACTCCTGGGCAGCGACTGCACTGTCCCCCGCCTCGCTTGGCGTGGATTTCCGTGCGCGGCTCCGGTTGGCCCCGGTTGGCGTCTGCCGGCAGCTGGCTCTACCGCAGAGCGCCGGCACCCGTCGGGAGGACGTCTCAGGCCTGCGTCCAGACACCAGCCGCGCTCTTTCACAACTGGGCCTTTCCCAGAGGGCAGAGTTTACTTCCTTGATCGGGACGGTTCTCCCGGTAACTCGGGTGCCCCGCGCTTGGGCTGTGATACATAGAGGAGAAGCAGCTTTTCTGACTTCTCGGCTTGACGAAATTAACAGCGAGATGCTTTGTTGCGTGGAAGAAACTTGTTGTTTTTTTTCCCACGTTTGGTGGAGTTTTTTTTTTAAAAAAAACGTGCCTGGTAGTTTCTTCCTAATGCAAATTAGCTTAACTGCGCTAAGTGGAATGAGGGACATTTGCTTTGGAAGTATTCAGATGTACAACGTGGAGTGATTTTTAAAGTTGTGCGTTCCATCCGCCTGAGGATCTTGGTTCCTTGAGCTCCACTCATAGGACTGGAAAATGTCACTGGCTGATAGCTGCCAGTTATTGGAAGCCAGTCTCTCATCTTTATCAGAGGTTCACTGAAAAGGCTTAGTGGTATAGCTGGCAAAGACCCAGTTGTGAATGGACATTAGCGTCTAGGTTCATCTCATGATCAATCAGCTCTTCATCTTGTAGTATTTAAAAAAAAACAAACCTTTTGACCAGTTAGTTGGTTTCAGCACTTAACCATAAAATATGAATTGTTTGCAAATGGACAAGTTCTGTTAAGATATATATATATATGTAAAAATTAAAAGATGCAATGTAATTTATGGATCCTGAGCCATTGAACAAATGAAAAAAAAAGTGGTGAAGAAGATTCATGTTCTGAAATGCGTAACAAAGACTGCAGAGATGTCAATGTAAAGAATTGGCAGCAGAGCCTGAACAGACAGGGTTGAAACTTGCAGGCTGAAGGAGATTCAAGGGGGGAAAAAGCACTGGTCTACCTGTTACACCGCTTACACTGTTTCACACCGTGTCCTCCACAGACTGCAAACCGAGACGTCATTATTCTGAGATGGGCGCTTTCTTCTGATCTACCAAAAAAACGTCGCACTGCCAGCTTCTGTATCCTGCTTTTCCCACTGGCACAGCCTGTCCCAGATTAATGGCTCTTCTTGCTACTGAACGACACAAGGGCAGTTACCCGATATTCCCAGCCCGCTTGAGACTGCTGGAAGTTCACGGCGGAGCTGTGTTTTTCTGCAGAGCTCTAGCAAGGTTTGCTGTTCTGGGAGGAAAACGAGATGGGTCCAGATATTGCACTTTGAGGATGGTCTTGATAGGTGTTGCGGAGATGGGGAACTGGAAGAGAGAAGACATGTCTCCGCGGTCATGGAGAGTTTTTATTTTTCCTCAGCTCTGTAGGAGGCTAGGCCTAACCCTTACTGAATACACTGACGGCAAAGCCTTCTGTCAGACGCGAGACGACGTCATAGAAAACTTCATTCACAGGCTCTTTTGTGCAGGAAAAGAAACTTCTTTGACGCGACACCGTTTTAAAACTAGCCTTCCAACCCCCTCTCGTTCTTTCAGTGTTAAAGAAAGAAAAGTGTGCGTCAACACCTGCGTTAGCTTTCCATCAACGCCCCTTTCCTTACGTAATGTGACGGCACTTATCATAAGTGATTTCATTCTCGCCTGCTGGGAGCCGATGCAATTTTCAAGAACTTTCAAACGTTGGTCAGTAAACACTGGCTTCATCTCAAAGAGGGCGACCCCGGCGGACTTGGGGAATCTGTATCGGCCAAAGACTTCCATCGGGAGTTGTATGCGGGACGGGCGACGGAGTGGGGTTTATTAACACTAATGAACACAGCAGTTGTGCAGGTGTGGCAGCTTGTGTTCCTCCAGCATTGAAATCTGTAGCACTTCAGTGGACGTTTCTCTAAAACAGTCATCAAGCTGACAAAAAAAAAAAATCAGTCCCAACACTGTCCGAAACACTGGCATC